AAAATGACTTGTCATACACTTACGAATCTAGGGGAAAGATTTACCTGCCTGGGTCATTCATATCCATGTTCTGTCACACGTACTTGCACACAGCTACACACATACTGAGGACATATTGAGTTACACAACTTCGTTTAAGACACAAAATCCAGCAGGGTCTAAAAAGCTAATGAATATGACAGACTCATCTCAATGAGTCGAAGATTTGGAAACCAGCTCAGAAAGACTTTCGTTGTTGTTGTTAGGGTATAGGAGTAATTTGTGTAAACTTTTAACAGATAAACGAGGAGACATACATACATATCCTTTTCTGTGGACATTGAAGGCTTCCTTGTAATCTGTTTTTGCTACTTGCTAATATCCCATCACAGCCTGAGGAATCTTCAAAAGGCTGGATACACACTTTCCACAGGGTAGAACTGCCCTAACTGACCATTCCTGGGAATGAGGAGTGCAAACATGAGAAAGCAAAAAATCGTCAGCTACCGAGAACCCAGAGGTGGGTTGTCCATAGTCCTGAGAGGCCTGGGTGAGAAAGCTCCAATTGTGAAGGAGAACATGCTGAAAAGTTCAATGCTTTTCACACTTCCAACACAGGAATGAGAGGATGGAGATTGGAAGGAGCCAAACAAAAGTATAGTTCTTTTGCGGGGTAGACCTAAACTCTTTGAAATAGTGTTATAAATTAAACACTTTAACTACGACTTCTGAAAATATTTATTAATGAGCAGAAGTCTGAAGCTTCATTTAAATAAAAATTTTACTAGTAAGTTCCTAAGCCTGCAGAGGTTAATCTTGAGAAATTTTTCTTAGATACTCCCAACTTAAAACCTGAGTTAAAAACAGCATTTCATGTCTGAGCATCACAGGTGAAAGCAATGCTCTGGTGCAGGTAAGATCCTCTGTCCCTCATCCTTCCACTCTACTCCGGCCCTCTACACTGAGAAACAAGCGTAACCTGAGTTTCAAACACAGCTCCTGCAGTCTTCAGAATCCAGCTGATCCCATGTGGTGACTCTGCAGAGGCAAGATGTCACTTGTGAGAGTGTTATGAAGCAGCTGGGTGCTGAGATGGAACACAGTGGAAATTAACTAATCTTCCAAATCAAGTTAAACATGTCTCTTTTTACAAAAAACACTGGTGTGTGAAGTCTGACCAGAGATAAAAGATATCTTTGCCTTTGTGTCAAGACTTCTAGAAATGATAAAGTCAGTTCATTTCTGTGAGGACAGCCAAAAAACAATTATCAAAAATTTTTTGCTTAGCAGTTCTGCTTAATCTAGATCAAGCTGTTAGGGAAAGGTCTGAGGACCAGTGTCGCACTCTCTTATATGTGAAGTTGTGTTTAGTGGATGCTGTGGCACACTACCTAGATTGCGCCCCTTCAAGACCCACACATTCGTTCCCCCAGCTGCTGGGAGTGTCTTGGGCTGACAGCTCTCAGCTGAGTCCCTCTTCAGGAATTGCCCTTGCTAAAGAGCTGCCTCCTTCAAAGTCACACCCAATTCCCAGGGGCAGACTTCCTCCAATGACTTGTCTATTTCAGGGTAGAAACCCTGCCCCCTTACCTCAATTTAAGATGATTACAAAAGGCTCTCCCAGCTGCAGGGCTCTCATCTGTGAGATGGTTTGAGGTTTTTGCTGTGACTGCATCACATTTCAACTTTTCCCTCTGCCCGCTTCTGCTTCCTTCCCTTCCACACAAGTGTTGATGCTGGGAGCGCTTCCCTAATAAACATGTTGCATGCAAATCTCTGTTTCAGAGACTGTTTCCTGGAGATCCCAATCTGGACATGTTAGGATCCCATTTCTAGAACAGCAATTGGCGAGTGGAGAACCCAAATTTTCAGCTTTGATATATTCTAGTGAAGGCAGAAAGTCAGTGGCTCCTATATTTTAATTTAAAAAATAATTTCATCCTATTAGTTGAGCAATATTTACTGTGCCTCAATTTAGTCAGTGGCAGTGTAGTATTGGCTTCTTGGAAACTGGTTAAAAAAATAAAAATTTGAATTTTTCTCAGAATCCACAAGAAGTCATTCCTTTGTCTTCAAAAATTTCTCTACATGCAATTTAAATTTTATTGCAGCCTGGTGTCCTTACCTTGCAGTAAGATTGCTGACCAATCTCAGTGATATTTTAAATATTGCAAATAACAAGAAAGACTAAAAGTGAGCATATGTCATTCCAATTTTCAAGAAAAGAAAGTGTGGGTGCTGTAAGTGATGTGTACAAATGAATTTGATGTGGTCCTGGGCACATTTATAGAGTAAAAGGATTGTGGTGGGAATGTTGTGGAGCTTGGTGAAGCACCAGATGGGGACTTGAGCTTGGTAAATAACTGTCCAGAGCTGGACAGGCAACTTAAGACAGGAAAACAGTACTACTCTCTGAGGTTATCTAGGGACCCAGGCTGGCAGGTACCTCTGCCATTCTCAACATAAAGCTCCCATCTCTGGGTTCAGGGAGATGTTCCCATTTCCCAATAACAGTCCCATTTCCCATTTAATGAGAAAAGAAAAAGAACAGAGCCTTTCTTCAAGTACTCAATTCCCCCAAACACTGAGAAGATGGATCTTTTGTCTGAGTTTCCACTCTTGAGGTGGACAAGGGAATTTCTCTTCCAATGGCCACCAGTAGGGAGCTATTGACTTGATTTTCAAAAAACTAGTCATAAAACTGGGAGTTCATGATGATTTGTGGCAGCCGAGTTGGAAGAGCAATTATGGGAAAGAAAAATTGCTCTATGGACTGGCCCCAACGGTGAACCAGGGGGAAATTATTTCTATTCTAATTGTCTGTATGATACATGTGCTGCCTCTCTGGCATATGTAGATTTCATGTATATTACAATAAAAAGATATCTTTATAAATGCCATATTTTGGAGGTCCACGAAATACTCAAGCCCTAACTTGTTCCCTATAGAACAAGAGATGTATGAATATCAAGAAAAAAATAGGTAGAAATGAATGGTAGACTTATGTCTGGGACAAACCTGAAATTCAGATACATGGAAAAGCACAGTGAAGGGAGAGAATATTGTGTGAAGGATGAAGGAAAGACTCACACTGGAGCTTCTTGGGAGATTCATTCTGAGTCTTTGTGCCTGGATAGTCACCACATAGGAACTGGGTTTTCAAGTAACGAATGACAAAATGTCTAGTTTAAAGAGAACTTAGAGACCACCTAGTCCAAACACTTCTTGTTACGAAGAAGAAATATAATCTCATAGACTGGCAAGGAACTTCCCCTGATCACACAACTAGTTAACAGGAGCTTGAACTTCCAGGTTTGTGCTCTATCCATAGTCCTCACAATCTTGGAGCAGGGATAAAAGAGGAGGTGAAAGTGAATTGTAATGCTCAAGAACGCAGAAAATCCCTCAGAAGATATATCTCAAGCTGATCAAGCCTGGACTTTCTATCCATATTAAATATTTCTCAATTCTTAATTCTGGGTCATTTGGCCTCAGACCAAATAAAGGAGTAAGTAAGTTCTCTCTAGCCTGACATGTAGTTGTGTATAGAACACTGTGAAGCAAGATGTTATTGCTTCTTCAAGGCTGTGGTACCAAGGCTATAACCTATAACAGACCTCCTATCTTTTCTTAAGGGCAGGGGAAGTGTCCAGGAACAATACCAAGGAGCCTCCTACAGGGACATTTTCTGGTCTGTTGTTACAAAAAAATCTCTTCTTCACTTACCAGGCCTAGTTACATAAAGCCAAATGACAAGGCTGTTCACTGGGAATCTGGTCATTTCTTACCTCTCTGAAAAGATTTAATTAAAAAGAAAAAAGTGGAGAGTGTTAAGGAGGTTCATACTAGATATCTATACAGAAAATAAAAATAAATAAAAGCTCTAATAATTTCTCTCTGCTTTATGGCCCAAAAACATCCTTTGGAGAAAATGGAACTTGTCATCCTCATAGATATTTACAAAATTTCCCCCTAGATTCACTTCCTCCTTAACTTATGAATTGTTCTAAAACATAAGTAAACTATAGGTGCTCTGATCTCTCATTGACTATTATGAACTCAGGGTCAGCACCGACAAAATGTTTCTTCTTTTCCCTAATGCTTTCCCCAAGCCCCCAGTATAACTGCCTCAATGGTTGCAGGTGGGCTGGAGACGGGAGAGCAAAGATTGGATCTTTGCCCTAGAGCATATTCAGACCTGAACTGTTTTCAGAGTTGAGAGTTCTGATTATTATTATTCACTGGCATTTCTCCAAGATGCTTAATTCAGGTGTGGTAAGAGTATATTCAAGATTTAAGTTTGGGAGATATTAGAGAGGTGAAACAATCACAGGGGAACCTTAGACTGAGCCTTATTCCCCAAGTCCTATGGCTCAGGACTGCCCCAAATTCTGCCAAGAACTAGAAGCTCATAGATAATATGTTGAAGAGAGAGCATAAAAATGATGAACCTCACCAGCATCCTACCATGTCTTCTCATTCCTAGCTGAGACTTTCAATGGTCAAGAGAGAACATTTCTAATCTAGAATTAGATTGTCTCTAGAAGCAAAAAAGAAAAGAGCAAGCCACAAATACTTAGAAGCATCATGTTATGTGGTTTCATACTTCTTTTTTCAAATTGTACTTCTCTCTCTTTTGTTTTTTTGTGAGGAAGATCAGCCCTGTGCTAACATCTGCCAATCCTCTTCTTTTTTTTTTTTTTTTACGGAGGAAGACTGGCCCTGGGCTAACATCCGTGCCCATCTTCCACCACTTTATATGGGACGCCGCCACAGCATGGCTTGCCAAGCGGTGCATCAGTGTGAGCCCGGGATCTGAACTGACGAACCCCGGGCCGTCGCAGCAGAGCTTGCACACCTAACTGCTTGCGCCACTGGGCTGGCCCCTGTACTTCTCTTTTACACATGCTAATAAATGAATCTATTCATTCTTTTATTTATTTAAGTGATGTTTATTGAGCACTTACTATTACATGCCACTTAACAAGTTCTAGTTGGTTTAATAAAGCAATATACCTTGAGCATAGACCTTTCCATGTACATTGTGAGTTGTGTTTGACAATGGAGAAGCAATTGCTGATGCTAGTCAGAAATTGCTGTTGCAAATGTTTCTTGAGCAGTGCATCAGTTCTTTCTGGGGTCTGGCTTAGGATGTGGGTCCATAAGTTTGCGGCCTTTCCTGGTCTTCTTAACCTTCAAGAGAAATGTTAACTGCTGCTGGGTTGAGATAAACAGTCCTGTGTCCACAACAAAGAGAATCGCCACCAACAACGGCAAAAGAAATTGTAGCCGGTAGTATTTGCTTTGGGGATCTGTAGTGGAAGATAGATGCAACAAGAAACATAACATATTAGGAATTGAAGAATGAGGTTCAGGACTTCATTCTCCTTAAGAGAAGAGCCCTGCCTGGTCCTTCATCTTCGAACATGATATGGCATCCAGGAGCAGAGAGAAAACACTCATGAGTTTGAGTTCTTCAGTCTGTGCTCCCTGAGCCCTATGGAGTCCTGAGTATTTCCCCAACAGCCCCTGTAGAACAGTTCCTCTAGCCAATGTGTCCAAGAGGAAGGTCATAACAGATGACTCCCTTTTTTGGAGCTGATAAGACCAACAACCACATATGATTTGGGGGTGGAAAGGAGACAGAGTGAGGGCAGGGGGTCAACATTGCCTTATTTCTCAATCATTCAATCATCATTTATTGCATGCATGTTGGGTGAAATGAAGATATTGGACTAGATCATCTTTAAGTTGCCTTCCAACTTCACTATTTTGTGATTCTGTTATTCTATTTACAAACTATTGATTTTTGTGATTATTCTAGAATTACAGATCCCCAGAATATTACAGCCAGAAATCACTTAGAGATCACCTAGACCAGTGGCTCTCAACACTGGCTGCACATTACCATTACCTGAAAGAGCTTTTGAAAATACTGATGCCCCAGCCTCACTCCAAACCAATTAAATCGGAACTTCAGGGGATTAGATACATCAATATTTTTTTAAGTTCCCCAAGTGATTCTGATGGAATCTGGATCAAACTCCTTATTTTACAGATAAAGATCCATTGACAATTAAATAGCACTTAGGTCTCAAATTAGTTAGCGGAGAACTGCCATTAGAGCTTAATTCTGTCTTCTGATCTCATGCTTTTTTAGACATTACTGTGAACAAAATCTGCCAAACAAAAGGTCTGATTTCCTCCTTGCAAGACAAATATTACAAAGGCTCCCTCTCTTATATGAAGTTTGGAAAGCGCAGTCTTGGTCATTGGCTATAGGGGCAGTCCACATTTCTATCCTTTCCTCAACAAGCCTTCTCTCTCATCTTCCAATACACAAGCACCAGACTATTGACTTGTTGGTTTCCTTTCCTAGCCCTCCCAGGTTGAAATAGACTCTTCAAGCTCTTTACAGCCTTTATTCCTTCAACTTTGAAACTCTCTTTCAATTTGATAAATATAAGTTTTCTCCCTAGGAGCAACAGATGACTTTAAGATCAAAACAGTAATTAAGCAATCTGTTATCCTTGGGTAGTGCTTAACGGTTTACAAATCCATTTCACAAATATTACTACATTTAAGTTTCATAAAAATTCCATAATATGAGCAGATATTACATTGCCATTAAACAAATAAGGAAAAAGACAGAGATTGAGGGATATACTATACCCCAGGTCTCCTCACTGCAAATTTAGTAGACTTTCCAAGGTATTGCAGCTGCCCCCATTCTACAAGCTGCAACCATGTCAGGCTCAGATTTCTCTCTTCCTTCCCTTGCTATTGACTCCTTCCCTTTCCTTCACCAACTCACCTCTTTTTACAGTAATGTTGAAGGGATCAGAGGTATAGCGTATGCTTCCCGGCTTACGGTAAAAAGCGCCCTCGCAGTAATAGGAGCCACTGTCTTCTGTTGTGACATTGGCAATGGAGATGTTGTGGTTCTCATACCAGTACTTGAGGGGTTTGCCATCCTTGTAGTAGATCACCTTGTAGACTTCCCAATTCTTCCAGCTATGGCACTTGATAAGGAGGGACTTACCCTCTATCAGCAACTGAGCAGAGGCCTGAAGAAGCAGCCAATCTGAACAGCATTCATTATGTTATTTATTTAACAATGAAAGAATAGATAGATAGATAGATGATAGATAGATAGATAGATAAATAGATAAAATAAAATAAAAGAGGTCCTGGATAGAGAGTGTATCAGAAACCATGGTTTATCATTAACCCATTTCTTGGCTCATAAGGTCAATAAAAAGTCAACACAAAATAATGCTTAGAGCTTGTCTTCTATATTGATAAACCCTCTCTCCTCATGAAAAGTAAGTCAGGGGGCTGTAAAATCTGACATTTCTGCTGAGCTCATCCACGGAAGATCTGAAACCCAGTATTTCCTTCAGATTCATTGTTGCTAGTTCTAATCACTAAGGGGGAAATAAACCTACTCTGTTTGGAGAGCCTTAGCCTAGAATAGTGTCTATTTTGTCCCCTCATACCTCACAGGGGGTTCGCAGTTCTGCTATTAATCATAGTTGGCCCCAAAACTTCCTCAAAACATATATCACAATTTAAATTAATTATTTGTATAATTACTTATTTAATGTCCTCTTCCTCATTTGGATCTATACTTCAAAAGGTCAGAGGCCACGTCTGTTCTTTATATTACAGCCTCAGTGCCTAACACAACACCTAGAAGTTAGTAGGTACTCAACAAATATTGGTCAATAATGAGTCAGTAAAAGATAAGAGTCAGTTTCTATGGCTAATGTCATTTTAAGAATTGAAAAGCATTCACCAAAGGACAATTCTGAATGGAAATATGGCTACGTTGTGAAAGTGTATTTTACTTAGGAGCGATCCTTGATGACTTTTCTAGAATCTACTTCAAGGAAATGAAGAAGCTATTCTACACTCCTTTAGGTTGTATTTGGAATTTGCATATTGATGTTGAAACATCTTTTTTCACTCAAGAGAAAAACATAAAGTATGTTTATACTTTAAAATATATTTATAGTTAAAAATATAAAGTAAAATACAACAATTACCTAGCCAATCAAATGAAATCATTAGTTTGTTGATTCAATATTTACTAACTAACCCACATATGCCTAAGCATGCAGTGCTAACTGTTGGCAATAGGAGAGTGATAAAGATGAAGCAAACATAAGATTTATTCTTACGTAAAAGTAGAGACATGAGGACTGTACACAGATATCTTTCAAAATGCCGAGTACAACATAATAGTTGTGGCACATGGAAATTGCAGAACAAATCTTTAGATCAAACTTTTTGATCCTATTTCAAATACACAGCTCTTTATAATGTTCACATACCCAACATGCCATTTGATCATATGATATGCACCTATGTAGAAAAGATAATCAGAGATGAAATAGAGTAGAGGAATAACGTTGGGAGATGGCCAGAATATTGAAAGAAGGCAGAAGGACAGGCAGAAGGAGTAGAGGTGAAAGAAGGAGATGGACGGGTCTTGAGTGAGAGGTCCTGTGTCCCACGTTGGTACCCTAAGCCTTGAAATAGTTTGCTTTCTCCCCATCTTCATGTGGGCCATTCCTCTCATGGAAGAATCTATATTTGCATAGCCCTGGAACTTACCGCTGGAAACTTCTAGGTAGACAGGTTCACTCAGGCTAAATTTTTTGTTCCGACATCTATATTCCCCAGTATTCTGGGATTTGGCATTCACGATGTCCAAACTCATAGTTGTCACATTTAAAGTTGTGTTGTTGTAGATCCACTCAGTGGAGTTGCCTTCAACGGGCTCATCCTTATTACATATAAGAGTCACAGACTCTCCTAGAAGTATTCTATTCCATGGGGGATTCAAGGACACCGTAGATTTCCGGGTGCCTCCTAGAAGATCAAATTGTGGAAAAAGATATAGAGGGGAAAAGTAATAATTGAAAACCCTCTAGGCTCCAAAGTACAGACATACCAAGAGTCAGACAATCAACGGTCAGTCTACTCTTGTAGTGCTGGTGATAAGACCCTGTCCTGACTACTAGGATTAAAGGAAGGAGGAAACAATGTTGTGGCCCCAGGGAGCTCCCAACCTAAGGAAGAAGATAGGACACAAATGCAGGATATTGAAAAACAAACAAATTTACTGTGTGATGCAGGATAACTCACTCTAATTCTCTTGATTTCAGTTTCAGAATCTGTAAATGAAGACCAGAATCTCTTTTCAGGCAGAGACAATATCTGTCATGTTCAACCATAGTTCAGCACAGTGGCTGGTACATAGTAAGTGTTCATTAAATATTTATTGAGTGGATGAATGAGTGAATAATGAATGAATAAAGGTGTTGGACTAGATGAAATATAAGGTCTCTCGTAGCTCTAAACTTTTATGACTGTTTAACTGTGAGTGTATATAGAGTGAACAATATGTGTCAATTCTGGAAGGTAGTGAGAAACACCAAAAGGATCAGTCTTAAAAGCCTTCTAAGAATAAGATGCGATGATAATTTGAACAAAAGCCAAGGAAGTGGCTAGGTGGTGATGAGGAAAGGGTGATGCAGTTGAAAGAGAACCAGAGTTGGATCTAAGGGATTTATGTTAGAATCCAGTCCTTTGTTAGTTGTGTAACCTCTAGCAAATTACTTAATCTGAGTTTCAGCATCCTCGATTATAAAATGGCAATAATAATAATGACGATGGTGATGTAGGAATTGAATAAGATTATATGATGGTGCCTGGAAGAGAGGCTGAGACTTAGATGTTCAACAGACATGGTTGTTGGTACAGAAAGAGGAGGGAATGACTTGAGAGAATGAAATGGTATGTGAGAAGCTTTTGAATGAGGGAAAAGAAGGAAGACAAGGCAAGGTGGAAATGGGAAGCAGGTTGGACAGGGAAGGGCAGATTCATAATCAGCAAACAGAGGTGATGGGATGAAGGGAAACAGTGAGGGAGAGCAATGCCCAGACACATTGAACCACTGAGGGAACAAGGACAGAGGACTCACCTGCTGACATACCATCCAGAGCTGCAAAAATCCAGAGAGGATAAGTTAGTGTCTTTCCTCAGCCTTCTGGGACTCCTGAGGACTGCGACCTGAGTATGGTGATAAGGTCGACACCCATGGAATTTTAAGGGCCAACTATCTTCTCAGGAATCTGCCCCAGGCAGAGAAGGAGCTTCTCTCTTTCCTCTGTCCTCCCTCCCTTGCTCTCTGGGAGATGCCAGAGCCATTGCAAGGAACCGGCCTTTCAGTCTGACTTCCCCCTTAGGTGTTGCTCAGCCCAGTTTCCTCTGCTCTCCAGCTTGTCTCCACTACAGGATCCCCAGGAAACCCTCATGGTTTGTGCCCAGCCTAGAAAAAGTCACCACTGAAATTGTCAGTGTTCCCAGCTGTTCCTCAAATCCATTTTGGCCCCTCCAAGAAGAGTAACCGAAACTCTACTTACAGAAGAGCAGAAAAGTTATCCACAGCAGGGCAGGGCCTCCCATGGGAGCAGACATCTCCTCCGTGGTCTCTAGGTGCCGACTGGACTGGAGAGGTCTAGGGACTTAAACTTGAAACCAAAAAGGAGAAGGAAATGTTTTCTACCTCATATCTGGTTGACTCATTAGCTGTGCCTAGGTTTGCCTTCTTCTCTGGAGATAATATTTAGAATAGTGCCTAACTGGGCAATGTTGCAATCACCCATTTACTGCACACTCCACCCCATCTCCATGTACTCACCTGGAATCTGGTGGAAGAGAGACACAGGGCTAGGCACACAGTCACAGAGCTTTCTTAAACTGTCAATCAATGCAACTTGGAAAAGTGGGGTGCAAGGGAGAGCAGAATAAAACAACAAAAGTTAACTATTCAGCACCTAATATCTATGATGGACTATGCTAAATAAAATTATAAAATAAAATAGATCTGATATTTCATTCATTTCTCACAATAATCCTATGAAATAGGTACCACAGTTATCTACATTTTATAGACAGGACTGGAGCTTAGAGAGGTTAAGTACCTTGTCTTAGGGTACTGCCTACTAAATGGCTAATTTGAGATTCAAACATATAAAAATCTAACCCCAGAGTACAAGTCTTAATCATGGTGATATACTGTATATGTATGTCCACAAGTATGGCCAGAAATTGCTAAAATTCTGTTGTGGTTCTCTGGAGCTACCAACCCGCTTGTTACCTCATTTCCTGCTGTTCTATTAGTCTGCAAATCTACAAATTATCATCTGATTCCCTAATGATCCACTATCTGACCAAACAAATTAGAGATATTTTCAGGGACTCCTTCTCTCCCACTGGGTCCTGTTGGGGCTCACAATACAGGAAGGCAGATGTTAAACCATAATTTACAGGAATCTAGGTCATATAATTTATTTTCTTTCCTTTCCCAGCTTTTGTCCATTTTTATCTTTCTAATCTTCCAGCATGATCACCCTTTCTCCTTTAAATCCATGTCAGTTCTCTTTCCTCCAGCATACCTTTGACTAATTCATCTGTTTTTTAGCTCTAAGTCAGAGTTGGTCATCTTCTTCCAGAATTTGGTACTAGTGATGATGCTGGAGATGGTAAGTCCATAAATATCTATAGTGGCTTACCATTTACAAAGGTTTTTTCATATGCAGTATTATATTTGATCCTTGCCCAAACTCTGAAATAAGCAGGGGCAATACAAAGCAAGCGAGGCCCTGTTCGTCATACAAGGCTTTTCCTCACAGACTGTTGAATTGTCTGCTGAATTAAACATGAAGTTGGTCCACATAAAAGTCTGAACAGAGCTTCCAGCTTCTATGGAATTAGAGAATATGGAGCGAAAAAGATTTATAAACAGAAAGTTTCAGATAAAAAGATTAGTGACTGGTCCCAGGTCCTGAAATGTTTTAGTGACAGATATTTAAAGAAAGCAGCAAGTTATTTTGAAAAGTGCAAGTTGTTTGTATTTAAAGATCTAAATTCAAATACTGATAGTATTTATGTGATTAAGGTATATGTGTAAAATAGGGTCAACAATGGTATCCAGATCACAGCTTTATTATGAGGTTTAATAAGATAATAAATGTGTAAAGTGCATTGCACAGCATCTGGTATGTAAAAGATGCTCAAGAAAAACATCTTCCTCCTCCTTTGTTACCATTATTTATTAAAAACTTTTAGGAGAAACATGCATTTTAACTGAATTAAGGCAATTGGCAACCTACATAGGCTGCTTTATCTGATAACCAGTATCTTATGCCAGTATAATTTATGTAACAAATATGACTTTTCTCTCCATAGTCAAGAAGAGAGCATAAGGAAAGAATAGAACACAAAAAGTTGTTTGATGGAGATAGGGAAGAGGAGGAGAAAGAAGTGGGGAAGATATAGTTTTTGAGGTGCTATTGGAGGGCAATATTTGAATATCAAGATCCTGGAACAGACAGTGACAGATTCTACTTTACACTTTTTTGAGTGTTTGTTCAGGGGATTTATAGGGTATTCTTTGTTCCTAGGACAGTGATCTACAATGAAATTGTCCTTCAGAGACAACCACTTTACTGTGACTCAAATAGTCTATTTAAAGGCATCCTCTTAAGTCTCTACGCTGTCCAAGTATCTCCTACTTGAGTGGGAAGTGGAGTGGAGCTCATCAGTAGGTTCTATTTCCATGTTTGGAGAGTATACGCTTTGGAGTTAGAGACTACTCTTATTTGCTTCACAATCCTAAAGCTTTTGCTTCGGTGTCCAGAATTGAAATAAAGCTAGTGTTTTGGGAGCAGATTCAACAAAAGCAGTTCATTAAAGCTTAAAAAACAAACCAAACCACTCATCTATCCACTCCTAAAAAAAAAACCCCAAAAAACAACAAAGCCAACAACATTAACATCAGGAAGAATAAACCACACCCTAATTCCTATAGCATACAACTGCAGGAACCCAAAGGAACAAAATGAGAATTCAGAAGGAACACATAAACACTAGGATTAAACAATAGCTCCCCTCCACCTAGCATAACTGGTTGATGTACCAGTTGAATGCCACACACCTTTTATCTTAAAAAAAAAGAAGTCCTCCAAATTTTATAGGCACTCTCTAGGTGGAGTGTGCTGTTAATTTCTTGTATCCAGCCTGTCAATATCAGGGACATGTGCCCCCTGAGATCAGTAGAGTGTGTCCTAATCTCACTTCTTACCACAAGCTTTTGAATCTGAGCACTCATGTGTTCAGCACTCGTAAATAGCACCTCTATCCCCCAATTTTGACTTGTTGTTGCTTCTTGGAAACCATAATCTATATTTCACTTTGCAGCAGTGGGGAAATGAAACTCAATTGTGTGAACTATTAGAACCTATCCAGTGTGAGGTGTCCAAAGTGAAAGGCTTTTGACAGGAACTTTTGTGATTTGGGACATGCTGGCAGAGGAGGTATCAGTTCACAGGGCATCTGGGCTTTTGTACCATTCTCCAAACTTGGGAAGCAGAAAGAAAATCCAATCTACTGGCTTTTTCCTCTCTACGTTCTTCAACACCAGGCAAGGTCCGTATAAAATTGGATATAGGGGCTGGCACGGTGGAGCAAGCCGTTAAGTGTGCTCGCTCTGCTGCAGCGGCCCGGGGTTTGCCGGTGTGGGAGATCAAGATTTGGCCACCCTGAAACATATCTCTTTACCTTGATTGTTTTCTCTGATGGACATTTGATCTCCCCCCACTAACTGCCTAAAGAATTTGACGTAGTAACTCCTTCCTGGAACAGATCTTCTATCTGATGGCTGTAATATAATATAAAATAGATGTTACAATAGGAAAGGCACCAACAAGCCCATCTTGTCAAAAATTCTGTCTCTCTGGCCACATTCTCTAGATTGCCCTGCAAGGAGTTGCCAGACAAACATTTACATTTATAAGGGAAATCTCCATTTGTAAGGGTATCTCCCCCTCTGTATTGCGAAGAGGGGAGATAACCTCATTTCTAGAAACTTATCAATGTGGAAGGTGAGGCCTTAAATCTGCATAATAACCTTACTCTTGTTTACTGTGCTTTAGTGGTAATCTCCTGTAACTGACTCCCCCCACCCCCAACATCCTCCTTTGTCTTTAGCTGAAGATGGTATTTAAGATGAGAATTTCTGCTATTGTGTGGAGAAACGCAGTGTCCCTGGTTTCTCCCATGTATATATGTTATTAAACTTGGTATTATTTTCTCCTGCTAACCTGTCTTGTTAATTATTTGGCCAGCTATAAGAACCTTAAGGGAAAGGGCAGAGGGGGATTCTCCCTCTTCCCCCACACAGGTTCAGATCCTGGGTGCGCACTGACACACCGCTTGTTAAGCCATGCTGTGGCGGTGTCTCATATAAAGTAGAGGAAGACAGGCATGGATGTTAGCTCAGGGCCAGTCTTCCTCAGCAAAAAGAGGAGGATTGGCACTGGATGTTAGCTCAGGGCTGGCCCTCCTCACACACACAAAAAAATTGGATATGAAATGATGAAAGAGCAAAATAGTTTGTTTATGGTGTGTATGTACCTGATAGATACTGGTTTCCTTGAGGACTAGGCACAAGGCTAAGTAGGCAACATGCCTTATCTACTTTGTTCCTCCCACTAACTTTATGTGGTTAAAGACTAAGGAAACTAAAGCACAAAGAGGTTAAGTGCCTTGTCCAAGAATATGTAGCTGCTAAGTGAAAGAGTTAGGATGTGAAACTGGGCAATCTGGCTGAAGAGCCTACACTCATGACCACTTCCGTATGATATATATCCTTATTCATCCAATCTACACATTACGCTTGAAGTGCACATGGATTCATAGTCCCCACACAAAAATTCCTTGGATTCCCAGAGGTCCATGACCCACAAAAGGAAAATCATTGATCTAGTCCAATCTCTTGTTCTATAGTTCTTTTTCTTGATTTTAAGAGACGCTGTCTCAATCCACAGTCATGCAGTGCTATTGGCACTGTCGGCATATTAGTTATGTATATTTCATAGATGTGCCTAAAATGAAGAGAGAAGAGAGAGTCTTGCTTTTTAACTGTAGATTCTTAGGGCCAAGAAGACATCAGCTCCGTCTGCCACTTTAAACAGGAATCCACTCAGAAAGAGTGGGTGGTGGCTGCCTGGTGAATTGTCACAATAAAGTTGGTGGCTTTAACACTTTTTTCATTTATTGTCTTGACCTGAATCGTCATCTGCTTTGGGTGGATCCAAGAGAAATACATGGAAACTTCTAGGACTCCTAAATTAAATGCCATTCAGAAAGAGATGGAGACAGGGGTTATGCAAGCTACAACCTTGGGTGTGGACAGAGATTCTCCCCCCAAGAAAAGAAAAATAAGACCTTAGGAAACAATCCCAAGGATGATACTCTTTCCCTTTCACTTTTAGAGACTAACTTCTTTCTAACACGGAAGGCAGAATCGGAGGAATTTTTCATAGAAATAAGGATTTGAATGGAGACTAGCTGCAAAAATATTTCCACACGTGATTTTAATAACAAAATATGCTATGGCTCAAATTCAAAGGCGACCATACTATTTGGAGATTACAAATTGATATAGCTGGAGCTAATGTC